ACACACACACACACACACACACACACACACACGCACACACACGCGCACACACACACACACACACCTCCCTGACTGCACAGCTAGAGTCCTGCTGGACCATGTATCATAAACCTTCATTTCTCCTCGAATGCCTGAACCGCCTCACCTTCCTTCTGCACGTCTTTTTCACTCATTTCCCTCATCTCTCTCTCTCTCTCTCTCTCTCTCTCTCTCTCTCTCTCTCTCTCTCTCTCTCTCTCTATCTCTCTCTCTCGGCTCGTCCCCATGGAGCATCTGAAAATAGCAGCCTAGGGAAAAGTGGGTCAGCTGCCATGTGGAAGAGGGTGTGTGTGTGTGTGTGTGTGTGTGTGTGTGTATGTGTGTGTGTGTGTGTGTGTGTGTGTGTGTGTGTGTGTGTGTGTGTGTTTGTGTGTGTGTGTGTGTGTTTGTGTGTGTGTAGTGAGTGTGTCTGTGTGCGTAACCAAACAACTGTACCTCTGTATCTCAGATTTGGAAGTTTTTCTTTAATGAAGTGTGTAACATTCGGGCAGACAGCTGGTTGTTTTCAGCCACACACACAACACCACACACACACACACACACACACACACACACACACACACACACACACACACACACACTTAACATAACATGTTTGTAGCTTTATTCATTCATATGTCATTTTTATCCCTTTTCAGATGGAAACAAATCATAGAAACAACAGATAACCCAAATATATCAGATTTACAATTATATAAATCAGAGATAAACAAATCTTCACACTGGAGAAGTTGGAAACAGGGAATGAAACAGTTAACTGGTTATGATATTGGTGAAGATTCATTTCATTCATTCTCACGATTAATTGATTAAACGACGACTCATTTCCGCACTAGTTACTTTGTCTTCTTAATTAAAGAAATGGAGTTATAATGTCTCTGGAAAATGCATCTCTGGTTAGATTTTATTTTTTTTCAACTGCTGTTCTTGAATTTCTCTGCAACTCAAAGCTGACACTAAAGCTGACTCTTGTAAAATAAACCCTCACTCATGTCCACGCACAAGAAGCCTGTGAAATTGAGAACCAAAAACAAACTCTTGCAAAACAATCAGGGGAGCTCCATCGATTTCACACTTGTACCATTCAGCCTGTTAAATCCCCTGATGACACCATCACCTCCTGGTGGTCCCTGCTGTTCTGACTTCCTTCTGAGCTGCACTAAAGTCCTGGATGTCAAAAACCTTTCTGCAGCTAAACCAGAATAAAACAGCTGCTCCTGATCAATAAACGAATGAACTCAGTGCGAGTGTCTTCCACCTTAGATCACTTGCAAATTAAAACCTCACCTCGACTGTTATAATTGTCTTTATGCAGGAATTAGACAGTCAGCCTGATCTTTACCGCAGCAGCGAGACTCTCTCCCCTGTGCTGGCCTCTCTACAGAATTGATTTTAAGATGAATCTATTTGTTTTAAAACACTGTGTGGACTGGCTCAGGGTTTTATCTCTGAACTCCGGTCTTATTCCACATCCACATCTCTCACTGAATCTCTGCTCTTCATTCCAGCTCTCAGTTGAAATCCAGGGCATTTTCCATCGTTGTGCCTTAACTGTGGAACAGTTTGACACTCACTGTCAGACCGTCCCCCATCGCTTCCTTTAAAACCCGCCTGAACACGCATCTTTTCCTTAGCCTTTTGATAGTAATCATGAAGGCATACTTATTTGTTTGTATTTTATTTCCTCTCTGTGCAGTGCTGTTGTGCTTTTATGACTTTCCCCAGATATTCTGTGCTTTTATTAATTTACTCACATCCTCTTAGTTATGTCTGTGTTTTCTGATTATCATCAGTCACAACATCTCCTAATTTCATCTCTGTAGAGCCCTTTGGTGAGTTCAAAGGGTCTGATACAGGGGTTGAGGAGTCACAAGACCACCGTTAGACCATCCAACTGGTTTAATAAAAGTGGTGTTGCATTATGGGAACTCTAGGATCCATCCATGCAATCGACCTCTTGCATGTTCCCCAACCTTATGGAAGAGTGGCACTAAATCGCTGTAGCGTCACAGTAGTAAGTTCAAGCACATTTCTTTATAAAACAGAAACAGAGGAAAAGAAAAGAAGGAACAGTAAGGAGACAGAAAAAGAGAGAAACAGGACAAAACAAACTAACAGACATATGTAACACTGTCAGGAGCACCAGCATCACCAGACTGAAAACTGGAAAGAGCGCAAAGAAAAGTCCCACAAAACATCCCCACAGAAAAAAAGAATTCCCCCAAACCAGCTCACAAGAAAGAAAACCCAGAAGGAAAAGCCCCTGACGGTGCTGTTGTTCATATACTGGTAAATCTCATTATACGACCACATGGCTATAACATGAGATCTTCAGTCTGTTCACAATCGCTGCTATGATCACTACAAGACTGAGGCGTTGTCTCCAGAGAGCATTGCCTCCCAATAGAAGCTGATGATGTCATCAGAGGATCAAGGCTCGAAAACAGAATTTGCACAATGAGGCTTGCAAAGTTTTTGCTTGTCTGTACCATAACTTTGCATAATGAGTAAACACACACAGTCAGTTTGGTAAAGTCAAACAAACCCCACCTCCGTCCAACCTGCTGAAACACAAGATCAAAGTGATCTCTGGTAAAAGCACAGGATTGCTGCTGCTCTCTCTTCAAACTTGCCTGTGTGCGATCTTGGCTCATGCGGCCCAGTGGTTGATCTAATTACCTGTTACGTGTTAGACTAATATAGTTAGGCCTAATGGGCTCCATGCAAACAGCCCAGGAGGGGACCACTGCCACGGCTACATCATCATAAAACAACCAAGGGACACGTGGCGTGTGTGTGACAGTGAGTGAGAGGATAGAAGTGGGCAAACATGCACAGATGAATGTTTGAAAAACAAAATACAAGATCTCAGCAAATGAGCAAACGTTTATAATGTAAAAGTATTTGTCGACAGATACTATAAGATAAGTCTAAATACAATACTTAGAGGCTGTATACTGTGTGTATTTAGTACGTTCAGTGCCATGGTTACTGTAAATGTTGAAGTCTATTTGAAGTCTGTTACACCTGTTTTGAGAAGAAGTCAATCAGAGCTTTGTAGGCAGTTTTCTTTATACGCTACACTCAGCTGCACGAATCTGAAAAGACTGACACCCTCTACCATCTAAAGACAATGTGTCATTAAGTCACAAAGGTTTTAGTCTCACACTAAGATTTTGTAAAGACTGGAGATCTTGCAGGGTGTGAGATTCTTTCCCATCATGCTCCTAGTGGAAATTTACAGGAACAAGACTAATATTATATAAAGTCAGTCACTCTTTCTCTTCTGTTTTTTCACTTGTGTTGGTACAGTCAAAAAAAGGTTTGGGGATAAATGCGAAGTTTAAAAAGTCTAAATTTATCTAGATGTGTCCCCTAAATTCACCCAGCGCTTGGCAAATAAGTGTTTATTAGCATCCACTTCCATCTTTGCTCTGACTTTACATGCCTTCTCCATAATTATGGCATTATATTTTTAAGGTTGTATATCCATCCCATTCTCCCATTCATCCATTCTTGTAAACATGATATCTCAAGGGGGAACGGTCACTTGGACTCAAAGATGAACTGATTACAATTTGGTGGTCAAAAGTCAAAGGTCAAGGTCACGGAGACCTCACAAAACATGTTTTTGGCCACAACTCACAAATTATTTCACTAATTATGACACAATTTAACAGAAATGTCTGGTGACATTTTATATCCAAAAGGTCAAAGTTCAACTTCACTGTGACATCATAATGTTCTGCAAAAACACTTCTGGTCATTATTCAATGCTGTAACTGAGGAAGGGCAGATTGTGATCATATTTCCTACAACTTGACTGGTTGGTGGAGGGATACAACCACGAGGCAGTGATTCTAGTTTGCCTCTGCTTAAGTCTGCTTGAATCTAAGGTCCAGCCAAAGCTAATAAGAGGCTTCAGCAGTCTCATATAGCTCAATCAAGCATAACAAATCTACATGCGATTACCAGGACATGTCCCTCTGATGCTTTAACCACTTCAAATTCAAACCCTTGAAGTATGGACGTACTAAGAAACAGATTTTCAGCTTTTCCCTCAGGGCTATAGGATAGTATAGCTATAGCTATAGCTAGAAAGTATACCTGTTATATAAGTATATAAGTATACACCCCCCCCCCCACACACACACACACACACACACTCAAGGGCAGTTATTTCCATTCAAAAGTAATAACTTGTCACAGTGTTTTTTTTACTGTGTTTACATTATATAGTTTGTGTTCATCTCAAATCATTGTGCTGACCTTTAGTTGAATGTAACTCTTTACTCCTGCTTCACTTAACGTTAGCTTTGATGAAACAGTTGTTACTGGTTCAATAGCTTCTTCTCTGAGTACTGGGAAAATGAGTAGGGGTGTAAAAATGATTTAATGCCTCAAAGCACATCTGGCACAGAGTATTTTTCTTTAGATTTTTAGTTGATAATGGATCTGTTAGGACCAGAGTGGACCTGTTCTTAAGGTCAGTGAAGGACACAATAAAGAAATGTAAAACATCTGTAACATTAAATAGCATTTCAGCATTGGTATGATCATATCACCGCGTTAGAGACTTTATATCACAGAAAGATATGGCACAGCATCCACACCCAGTTTGTCATGGTCTGTCATTAGATGGGGTCCAGGGGCCCTGAAGAAGAACAGCAACACTTGAGTGCTGATGGGTAATTTACAATCAAGGCTCCTAGACTTCAGATCATCACCTTAGAAGATAAATGGATATTATTGTTTAAAACTGAAACACATTTTTCACCTTTTCTTTTATGGAAAAAAAAACACCCTTCAACCTCTTCTTAGGAGTGTGCTTTCTAATGGTGTTAACAGGGTTGAAGGTGCTGCACAAATACGGATCATGGTGATGTTGTTAGTTGTTTATTTCAGAGGTATGTGTATATATTTGAATTTTCCACTCATGTGTTCTCTGTTCTTCTTCCTAGGATTCAAGTGTCCTGTCTGCTCCAAGTCTGTGGCGTCCAATGAGATGGAAGTTCACTTCATCATGTGTCTAAGCAAGCCTCGCCTCTCCTATAATGGTAAGGAAGCACTGTCGTTTCCTTTTCCTTTGTATGGCAGGAGGCCTGAGCTGTTATTTGGAAGGAAAAGTCCAGTCCCACCGGTGTGCTATAAATAATGAATTGATTTTGGCTCTGGCCCTGGTCATATTTATTGGTCTTCCCAATATTGTGCCAAGTCTCCTGTTTCTGCTGCTGTGCTGATAAATATTCATAACAAGATGGGTGGCTCTACAGACGGACGCGTGTTGTTGAGCTAGTCCTTCCAAAACATGATAAATATGAATGAGGGGAATGAGAGAAATCATAAAAATTCATAGAATGAGTTTATACAACCTGACATGTTCAGTCATCCACTTCTGAAAATACAAACACAGCTGAGGCTGCTAAGATCCCTAATGGCAATCAACAGTTGCGTGTAACGTCTTTTGTTTCATAAGATGTTACTGGTTCCATCTGAGCCCGTTATGTCTGTTTGTTTTTAGCATTTCATGTCATTTCACTGCAGCAATAAACTACAGTGCTAACTCTGAAAGAAGCTAACAGTACAGTGTCACTCAAATAGTGACAGAAGTAACCTGAACTGCCACATTCTTAGAACCTGTTTAATAAGATTCAAATTGTGTAAAGGAGCTATTTGTAAGTTTTGCTATTGCCACATATCCAGCGTTAGCATTAGCAGCTGTTTACTTACCAGTCTAGAAGAAATGTTGTGAGTTCATAATCAAACTTCATTCATTTACTCACCAACAGCTGTCTCCAGAGGTGGAAAGCAACGCCAATATTAACTCATGTCTCTATCACGTCCTTTCTTACTGAAATTAGCATGCTAACCAGTTAGCTGCTGCCATTCTCTCACTGTAGCCTTCAAGACGTTGCACTGCTCAGAGGGCGTATTGTAACCTCAACGATGGCCGAAGCTGTTGTCAAGTGACAATCACCACCACTTTTACAGACATGTGTCTTTTATAATGGTGGTCTATGGGGGAAATGCTTTTGGAATTTTTCATTGCAGTACCACCAGCGAGCACTGGGACAGATTAGCAGCAAGGCTGAATGGGAGCACCGTATCTGGCTCCCTTAATACCTCCAGGCGTATATTGTTGAATGCTAGCAAAAATATTTTTATTCTGATTAAAATTATGAGCTGTTTTTAACTGTCACCACTGAACACCCCAGTATCATGTTTGATCTTCTCTATACATGTGAAGCACAAAGCTTCAGAGCCAGTTGTTTACCAGAGGTAGCATTATATCAATGATTACTGTGGCTCACTTATGAAGTGCATTAATCAATGGAACAATCGACTAAAGTATGTTGTATTAATTAGCATTTATGCCTGAATCCAGGTCTTATCTTTAGAGGTTTCTGAGCTGATGGAAGAGACGCTCTGTTAGAAAGAGGGTGAAGACTTTTTTCTCTTTAGTAGCCTACAAGTGAATGAAAAATCCTCTGGCTCTCAAAAAATGTTAAATTCTATATTACTGATTTATTAAAGAAAATAAAAGGACTGGATTGTCACCTTAGGCGCTGACAGACTGACAGTTACAGCTGAACGCCACCTACATACACAACAGCCTCTCGTGGCCCAAATATTTCAGTGTTTTTCATTTTACATGTGTACGATTTAGATGTTAATTTATTTTGAATATTTGAGTTAATTTACAAAAAAATATATTTACAGTGTTTATACAGTTGACTATTTACATATTTATGTTTATACAATTATTATTTAGCCTACATATTTACAAGTTTAAATATTTACATGTGCATCTTTAAAAACATTTACAGTAACCTTCCTCTTGTTTACCTCAGTCTAAATCCTCCTCATCTCTGATTGGTTAGTTTAGCAACATAGAGAAAGAAAGTGTTGTTGTTGTGAAGCAGATGAAGCGTGGAGAGGAGTAAAAACTGCTGCCTCATAGGTTAATCCGTCTCCATCCAGCTGTTTGTTTCATCAAGAGTGACCCAAACCACCACACATCCAACCCTCGTGTTACATATGTTTTCAACTGTAAGAAAAAAGAGACATTTTTATGCAGCTGCAGCCGTCAGAATCTTGTGAAGATTGGCAGAATGATTAGTATGGACTATCCAGCGTGAAATGAAGAACTGCTGTGTCTTTGTTTTCAATGAAACGAGGCGAAACAGCAACACTCTGTACGCAGCCAATGAGCTGGACGAGTTAACTCGCTACTGAAATGACAGGGAATCATCTCTGTCTGGTGGGACTCGTGGCCATGGACTGTGTGTTTATATCCACAAGGAAAGGTTCCCAAATGCTGTGGTTCCATCCAAAGATTGTTCTCCACTTGGCGGAGCTTATAATCGTGAAGTGCTGGCCTTATTCTCTGCCGAGGGAGGTCACTGCTGTTTGTTGTTGTAGCAGCCAGCAGCAAACAGCACACCCTGATGGATTTTTGATCATCGCTGCTGACTTCAATCATGTAAATTTAAAGACAATTTTACCAAAATTCCACCAACATGTAAAGTTTGCTACAGGAAGAAAAAATACGCTGGGCCTTGTTTGTTGCTGCCAGTGTAGTAGTTCATACCCTTAAGATCGTCTGAACTATGTTGCACTGAGATCACTGAGGAATGACGTTTTGTTTCTCTGTATGTATGTCAAACATATGTGAGGAAATGGCTCAACCTGAAACTCAAAATGCAAGTTTATCAGGAAGTTCCCTTCCAGAAAAACACAGCAATGTGAATACAGGGACTGCTGGCATCTTCTTAACACCGGCATTCACGTAACGACTTAATAACCACAGTTAACTTTACCAACCAAATTATTGCGTATTCCAGATAAGAATGCATGGCACTTGCATCTTTCTAACCTTTTAATTTTTTTTCAGTATGATTTTACACATTAATCAAACAGGATGAGGAGAAAAAAAATAACTTTAATATGCTGACCTTTCTGCTTTTTAACATATTACTTGTCAAAAGTCTCAGTTCAGGTGCTTGAGCTATAAATTTAGAACATAAACAAGCTTATTCAACTTTCATTCAATTTGTCGTAACACAGATAAAGTTTACCATCAGTAGCTTTGAAGATCAGTGCTCAGCTCGGTCTCACTGGATCTCCATGTGATGTAAAAAGGTGTGTTACAGTGTTGGGCTGTGGAAGCCAGGCAGTGTTGTTCCAGTTCACTATTAAAAAGAACTAGTTCAAAGTTCAGTTCATACAGATGAAAATGAACTTGTGTCTATGGATACGTCATGCGGCATGCCGTAAAACTGTCGTAAACGTGAGCTAAAACTGTCGTACAATGTGAGCAGTGAACGCCGCTCATGTTCACGTTCATCATTTGTAAACTGATTTGTTCTGTTCAGCATTCACTAAAAATATGAACGCGTTGTGTTCATGCACAACACAGTGGTTGTAGTGGATCCAAAAGGAAAACAGCAAACTTTTGGGAATTTGTTACCAATTGCTGAATCAACCATAAAGTATCTATCTATCTATCTATCTATCTATCTATCTATCTATCTATCTATCTATCTATCTATCTATCTATCTATCTATCTATCTATCTATCTATCTAACCAGTGAGTAATGATTGATCACTGGCTATTGTTCTCAATGCTGCTAATTTATTAACATATTTAAAACAACATTACTAAATCAATACAGCCAATGTATATATGTATATACACATTGTAAAGCTCTTTTGGGCAAATTTGTGGTTTTTGGCAACAGACATAAAACTGAATAAATAGGTAAATATATTATTTACTTCATTATCTGCACAAAATCTTCCTCTTCGCAGCCAACAAGGCTGGGCCTGATATTTTCCTTTCTTTTTTGGAGCTTAGCTTTGTAGCCCTAGACCTAAGCACAGGACAAGGAAAGAAGTTTACATTCATCATTATATTTTTGACTGTGGGCAGTGCCACACCATATGGATCAAAGTACCTACTTGTCCACAGCTATGCCAGCAGAGTCTGGAGGGAGTGATATAGGCTCTATATAAGGTTTTTAGTTGAGAACTCTGAATGTTACTGACTGGGATATTACTGAAGTCAGTAATGTTGACTCTGCAGAGGTGAGTTTTGTTCCTGTAGGGACTGAGTCTGAGGCTACATCCAGACTAATATCTTTCATTTTAAAACAGCGTTCTAAAACGAAAACAATCTCTGTCGAGACAAGCGTGGAACTGTTAGAGAAGGTAACACATGGTGGCAGAAAACATAGGTTGAGACTTATTGTTTTCTTTCAGAGAAGCGGCATGTGATTGGAACATGACAAATCAGGGAAGGATACGTTGTGACTGATAATACCCAGTCAGGAAGTGAACGCTGGTGTCTGCGTTGTCATTTCCAAAAGTCTCAGTTTCTGCCCGCCCAGACCAAAACACAACCCTGGAGTTTTCAAACTAAAAGTCCCTGTTTTAGGGGCTTGAAAACTCTGGAGTAGTGTGAACATCAGAGGTAAACATATAAAAAGTGATATGTTTTAAAACTAAAATGTAGCCTGAAAGTTGTGATCAGTAATAAAATTCCCATGAGGTCTTCATATTCTATGTGCTACTCTTTTTTACTGCTGTTTTGAATTGATGAGTGTGTTGGTTCATCACAGTTTTAGTATAAAAGATAAATATCCAAATTTTCTAAAAGCTTCATGGTCACAATACAAATCAGACGTGGTTGGAGCAAGTTGTTGCTGACTTGCCCAAGAGGTTAACGTCATTCATGTTTATTGTTACTCTGTGTCCAAACTGACATAATAAGAATACTGCTGCAGACACACTGTCTACCTTGCAGTCTACTATTTATTTCCTTGAGAAGTCTGCTGTTAATTATGGTCTGGGCTGCTGATCCTGGTTCGGTTGGAGACACATGATTGACAGCAGCCTTGACTGTTCATTGCCCATAGCAACCTGTTTATTGACAGCTACTTGTTTGACTTCAGACATGTACATGTACATCTGATATGGAGCCTAAAGGTCACCATGTAGGAGTCTGTGTTTGTGTGGGTCTCAGAGTGCGGATAGTAGTGTTGTGTTTCTGTTGAT